TGGTTATTGTCTAAAATTTTCTGTCTCATTAGGTTACCCTTTTCCTGGGCCTTTGGCTAGAAAGAGCAGGCTTTTCTTGGCAATTTTATTTTGTCTGCACCCACTGGCATTTTCAGACTGCCATCTCCTTGAGCTCTATGTTTGGAATATATGTGGCAAAAAGAACACCCAGGGAGTTCACCACCATATTGTTTCTTGAGTCCTGAGGTCCTTAGGTAGTCAAAGTAGTAATCTAACTCACAAAATTTTACCTCCAGGCTAAATCTTTTCTTTATGGTGTGGAAATAAGTATCACAATACCTCATTGTCATCTGCTCCTGTATGTCTCAAAGACACCTCAAAGGTAACTCTTTCAAAGCTGAACCCACTCTGAACGTTGCACTATAGTCTTCCTGACACACAATCCAAAAATGTAAAGGTGTTCCTAATATTCTTCTCCTTCTCATTTTGAATCATATGAAGTCCTCTTGGTTTTTGATTCAAAATATTTGTTGTCTTCCCACTTCTCTGTATCGGCATAACACAATCCTAATCTGAGCTATGCTCATATCTAATCAAAATCTTCTGCAAAAGTCTCTTGTCTGATCTACTCACATACAACTTCCCTTTTCCAAATTCTTCTCCATGTTACAGCTGGAGGGACTTTTCAAATCATTGTCATTATTATCAATATGTTTTTATTGCTTTTAGGATATTTATTTTTAAAATCTTTAACCTTACCTATAAGACTCACACATATCTATTGTAGATGCTCAATAAATATTTGTTGATAAATAACTATAGTACTCTAACATTTGGGGGGCATGCCTCCCTAGCTGGATTAAAGTCACCTAATGGAGAGACATATCCTGAAAACTAATGCACCCTCAGTGCAATGATGATGATCTTAGTATTCTAGTGAGTTTATACAAGGAGATTACATCTACAGAATGGTTAAAGGGGGAGTTTATGCATAAACAATAACAAACAGCAAATTATTAATTGTCCTGCTATTTCCCATATCAAATGAATTTGTTTGTCTCCTTAATAATTAGTATTTGTTTGTAACAGAAATATCCTTAAATTTCTCAAGTATATATGCATTTTTAAAGTACTACTTACTTCTCACTTATATTGGACATCTAGAAATTATTCTCAGCGTTTTTACAGAATAATACTTTCAGAGAAGGACTAATTATAAGTTAATAGAAAGATTAACTTTGACAACAAAATAACAGAATTATAACAAATAAGATTGTTCACATGGCTTTCCCACATAAATGTTAAATCATCTAACTTTTTCACTGCATGAGCTACGTATATTTACTGTTGCATCCATTGCAGAATACCATCAAAATATTGTTTGAGACATTAAGAGTAGATAAAGGAAAGATAAAATAATGTCTCTCCCCTTGAAAATCACACAGTTCATTTGGGGGAAAAATCATAAGACAATTGAGACTATAAAGAATGAAATGTATTAGCTGTAGGGCTAAATTAAAAGATAAGGCAAAGTAGGAGAGAAATCAGCAAAGGATGGGTAAATTAGAGAAGACTTACTAGAAAAAAAATTAGGACATTAGGTGAGAGACAGAGAGAGAGAGAGAGAGAGAAACATGGCCAGAAGCAGGAAACAATACAGGTAAAAGGTACAGAAGCAAGAACAGGTAGGTCTTAGACAAATAATAGTAAAACTACTAATCTGGAAATAGAAACCGTAAGATAGTCATGACAAGAAATTTCTGGTAAATTTGTCCAGCTATAAGTGAGAAGTTTTCAGCATATGAATCAGAATGCAATAACAGTATGGACTCTAAGAGACCAAATAGTTTCCAATCTTCTCTCTTGCCACAACCAATTTATATCTCAGATTTATAAGTATTGCTTAAATTTCAGACATAGTCTCCAATACATTAATTCTATGACCTCGGATTAGGTTTGCATTTGAGTGAACTGATAAAGCACATCCCAGCTACGATTCTTACAGCTTGTAGGGATGGGATAGGATTCTGTTTCATGTGTGCATCTTCTTTCCATTCATAGAAAAATTTTAGTCTAAGTCATTTTAAAGATTGGTCAGAAGTGAGTCATGCAAGTCATATAGAAAAAATGTAGCATTTTATTTTGTTGGACCTACTGAAAATTTAGATTATGATAATATTTAAACACAGCTAAGATTGGGTCTTTCAATATTATTATTAGTTCATATTTTCTCTAACTTAGATATGTTTCTTTTGTGTATTTGACTTTCTGCTGTGGTGTTTCTTCATCTGATTTATAATGATGGTTACCATGGAAGGAGGAAATGTGTTATCACATGAACCTGAGCATAATTACAACAACTTTCCAAGGGAAATCCACTTGGTCAAGCATATGGAAGAAAAAAGGATATCTATCACATTAGAAAAGAAAATTTAAGGAAGTTGTATGATTTAAGACTCTCTTAAAATTATTTCAAAAGTTCCATTCAATATAATAAAAATAAATATAGTATAAAGAGTAGGAAAAAAATTGGAAAATTCTTATACATAGAAATATATTTTTTTCTGATTATGAAAGTCTGGGATATTGCTAAAACTCTAGTAAAATGTTAGCGATAGAGATGACTACATGTGTGAGCTATATAGAAAAAGTACTACCAAATTCAAACGTCCACTTAAGGGTTTTTGCAGACAAAGAAGTTATATGGAGTTGCTGGGAGTAAATTAAACCTTGAAGGAAGGATGGAAATTCACTGGCAGCATTTTTGTAGAGAGAAGATTTAGTTATGACAAAATTCAGCTCTGAGAACCCATTCATTTTTATTAGTTTGAGGACTAATAACAGTATTTAACATTCATTGAGTGCTCACTATGTGCCAGACTGTGTTCTAACTGTTATATGCTTTAACCTGTTTAATCCTCTCAAAAGTCCCAAGAGTCAACTGCCCTTGTCTTCATTCTACAGAGGAGGAAATTAAGGCATGGAAAGGACAGGTAACTTGCCCAGAATCACAGAAGTAGTAAGTGCTAGAACATGATTGAAAACATGGCTAACAAGCGCCTGAAATCTGTGCCCCTGCATAGAGCTTCTAATCATAGCAATTCACAAGTGTGTAACCTTCTCTATGTGTCATGCATTTGTGTACATTTTTTTAGTAATCTTCACAGCAATTCTAAGAGCTAGGTATTCCGACCTCAGAGATGAGGAAATTGAGATACAGCAGGTCTGGGATTAGAACCCATGGTATATCTCCTGTTTTCAATAGCTCTGGTTCCAGCTTGGCTAAAATACAGGGCTGTAAAGTAAATTCATAACATATAGATTGGATAAATCAATGAAGGCCAAAAATAAAAGGATTTGAGGCAAACATTTTAAAATTTGGACTTGAATTTTTTTTAAGATTTTATTTATTCATTTGAGAGAGAGAGAATGAGAGAGAGCATGAGGGAGGGAGGGTCAGAGGGAGAAGCAGACTCCCCGCTGAGCAGGGAGCCTGATGCAGGACTCAGTTCTGGGACTCCAGGATCATGACCGAGCCTAGGACAGTGGCTCAACCAACTGAGCCACCCAGGTGCCCCTGGACTTGATTCTTAAGACACATTCCTCAGTATCTAGGTGCTCAATAAACTTTGTTCAATGAATGAATGACTGAATGAATGAATATAAAGTTAAGATATTCTTACACCAGCCTCCCCTCCGGTCAATGGTAGCATGGATCGCTAAAATAAATAAATAAAATAAAATAATCACAGTCAAACAGAGGTAGATTATTTATTTTCTTTAAAATACTTGCCTGTGGTCAGGTTCTACAGATCCAGATCAGCTACAAAATGCCTGGGTTGTAGCTTTCTGATTTGAATATCTACACTTCTGAGCCATCTAAGTTAGATTAGCAAGATTTTTCATTCTATTGTATTTTTATTCAAATGCTAATCATACAACAATACAGAACATAATCATTCTTTATTAAAAAAAAAAAGAAGCTTTCTCAATAGTCCATGACTTTTTTCAATTATTGCTTAGACTAACCTTAATTATATCTAGGCTTCTAGGCTCAAATTTTAAAATATGTTTATTTCAATTCATTCAAAAATCTTTACTTTTAAAAACAATGTTTACCCAAAACTGTATTCCCATCTCAAATCTTTCTAGAGGACCTTAAGCCAAAACAGTATCAGCACGGTTTGTTTCATCATTATTCTTCACATCACAGAGAAGTGTTTCCAATCCTTCCTCTGCTAATTTCTTAGAAATGCCTTTGCTTCATCTTGGGTCTCTTCATGTCCCAAAGAACATGAGAAAAAAAATGACAAAAATAGAGAAAACACGATCATTTCTCTGGTCCTTTGTTTTCCTATTTCTTCAACCTTGGGACTATGGGAGGCAATATTATTTACCTACTAACTCATATTAGTTTGCTCATATTTCCTTCTTTCTGATCAATATTTTTATTGGGCCTAGTGTGAAATGAAATACAGCCTCCTTTTTTTTCCCTTACAAAGCATATGACAGTGAATTTAAATATTTTTTCATAGATTGCCTTTTGAAAGAACTTGTCATTACATATCTTAGCTATTACCTGAAACTTGTTCCCTAAAGAGTCAATATCTTCTAAGAAAAAAAAGAAAACTTAAAAAAAAACAAAAACATGAGGTCAAATACATGGTCTGTTCTATTATTTTAAAATTTAGCAACAATTTAGCCATATAGTTTCTGTAAAATCACCTTTGTTATTAATTGGCCTTAGATTAATTTTTAATGGATAATATTTCCATCAAATATAACTTGAAATTAAATATTTGAGACCATGTTGTAAAATAACTTGTTCTTCCTTCTCTGTTGCAGCCCAGCTAAACTATTCAAACCCTACAATTAGCAAGTTTCTCCAGCTATCCCATAACAGAGGTGGTTCCATTCCTTAAGTAGAGAGAAAATAACATAAAAAATTTAAATGAAAATAAGTTGCTCTAACTGCCTAATTGATCTCTACACACCATTTCTGCTCCTGCTTATGGTTGCTATTGTTTTTGGGTTTGTAGGGACCGAGCACCTTTTATTTTTACTTCAGAGATGGAGTACTTTATTACAGAGGGTGGGAAAAACCCACAGCATTTCCAAGATTTTGTGGAGCTTTGCTGTCAAGCTTATAATATTGTCAGAAGGCACAGTCGACTGCTCTTGAACCTGTTAGAAATGGTAAGTCCCTTGGGGAAACAACAGAAATAATACGCTTCATTTATGTCTCTCTTTCAGTAGTCTATTTTTGCTAATGGCTTGGCATTCCCCAAAGAGCTATTCAAACCAGAAGGGAATGAACAAGCTAAAAGTACCATTGTATAACTTATAAACACATTTCTTAATAATTCATTCCATTAGTTCACAGTTATTGTCTCAAACATTTCTATTCACAATAATATTGATATATTCAGGGGTTACCTCAGTATATTTTGATTAAAGATTAAGGACAGTAATTTAGAATATTGTATCAGTTGTATTGTGCTTAAGGATTTTTCTAAAGTACTTTAAAAAATACTATCTCATTTACACTCATAGCAACCCAATGATGTAGACCAGGCAAGGATTTTTCCTGGCTCCCCTCCCAATCTCTGCCTTTTTCCAGATTAAGAAACTAGGGGTCAAAATATAAGACAGCTTCCTAGCACCTCAACCAGAGAGTAGTACATTTAGTGGTGTCCATTGGTTCCTGCTGAGTCATGCTCCTATATGTTCTCTGTTGACTTACAGTGGAAAATTTAAGTTTCATTCCACCGTCCAATGTTAAAGAGATGGAGACTAGATATACAGGGTGAAAGGAGAGGGATCTGATAGAAATATCTTCTGGGAGAAGGATGGGGTGATTCCTTTAGGCACATACATACACACTAGTAATTGTAGCAAAATGTAGGAGAGAAACACAACTTTGGTAAATCAGGAAGGTGTTTGGAGCCAATGCAATCATAAGAAATAGCTGGTTTAGAACCTTCAGATGACAATAATTCTACTAGATGCTGTTAAGGGCACAGACTTCTTACTTAACTCCAATAAAATGATGCTTCTCATCCATCAAATGAAGATAATAGTATCTACCTTGTAGGATTGATGAATAAATGACCTAATAGTGAATGTTTTGCATGAACATTATACTAAGTGTTTTATGTGTATTAATTGATTTATATTTCATAATAACCCTATTAGGTAATTAATATAAAGCACTTAACACAGTGCCTGTCATGTTGTAGGGTTCAATTAATTTATTATACTAGATCCTATTAATCCAAAAGAGCACTGTCCAATAGAGTAGCTCCTACTCATGTGTGGTTACTTAAATTTAAATTAATTAGTATTGAATAAACTTTAAAATTTAGCTCCTCAGTCTCACTAGCCACATTTCAAGTGTTCCATAGCCACACATGGCTAGTGATACCATATTGGACAACACAGTTATAAAGCATTTTCAACATTGCAGAAAAGTTCTATTGGGTAGTGCTGAATAAATGTTGACCTTGTTGCAATGAAGATTTGACTAGATCCTTGTTTTAACCTTCAAACAACATATGCACCTTACTCTGTCTTAAAAATAGATATTTTAAAAAATACTATAAACATGTTGTTTTTCATGTATAAAGACACTTTGGTTTCTTTATGTGTGAACTGGGTATATAAAGTTTTTCCCATTTCAAGAATTTTCAAGTTGGCTATTCCAATAATAGCTAATGATTCATATTGGTAGATTTGCATTCTATCTCCCAATTCTATTAGGCCATATTGCAATTATGAGATGGCTTATGGCTCATAATCTGTGTTCACACCACAAAGGAAACTTTCCAAGGACTAACTCTGTGATCTTGACTCCATTTACATATAAACATCTAGGTACTATCATTCTAATATTCTCTGGGTCTCTAACAGGCTCTAAGTCATGAATCCATGAGTTCATGAGTACTGTGTGCCAAAAACTGTGAAGATACATTAACATGTGAGACCTAGGCAGACTTAAAATTTTCACTATGGTAAGGAAGATAAAATTCGTGTATACAATAAATGAGGTGTCCAGCATTTTTAAATGTTTATAATGTTATAAATAACTGCATACAAAGAGTAAGTACCATACTCTAACAACTGCTTGAACCAACCACAGACATTTTAAAAATAAACCCAAAGTAGAAAAGCACAAATACAGATTATGCTATTTCTCAGGTGACACTAAAATTATGCTGAATAACAAAAGTGAGCATATTAAGTAAAAGGATAGCCATTTGAAAAAATTGATTGAAAAAGCTATTGGTGGGCTTTTTTCTCTTGTTTAACAAACTTTTCTACTTACCTAAAAAGAAAACTTATAGCACATGTGTCATAATATATAAAAAATTATTTTTATAAGGCATCTGGCTGGATCAGTCGGTTAAGAATCCAACTTTTGATTTTGGCTCAGGTCATGATCTCAGGGTCATGAGATCAAGCCCCATGTGGGCTCCTCTTTGAGAGGGAAGCCTGCTTAAAATTCTCTGTCCCTCTCCCTCTGCTCCTCCCCACTCACATACGTGCACACTCTCTCTCTAAAGAAAAAAACAACTATAATGTAAAGAGTTTATATAATGTTATTTCATGTAAAAGAAGTAGATGGTGTTTCATCAAGTACCTGAAGTAATTTTTCATAAAATAATATTAAAATCAAATGTTGAAGGTTTCTGTTACATAGTATGATGAAAAAATCTCCCTATGTTCTAATTATTCAAGTCTTGACTTCAAGGCTAAGGAGGAAATTTTGGCAGTAAAAAGCACAAATTCAGATTAAGCCAATAACCTTAGATTTAGACTCTCACAGAAACTGAAACAGACCAGAAGCAATGTGGACCAATTAGACCAATGAATAAATACATATGAAACAGTAGTATGTTATTCGCTCTGTTTCTGGTCATTTACCTCTCCAGTCTCTGCTTTTGAGGTTTCTTTCTTATGGGATTCTGTAGATAACCAAAGCATCAGTAAAGGTTTCAGGACCACATTTTCTCTGGCATAGCTTCCAAAAAATAAAAACCAAATTTAAATTTGTGAAAGATTATTTTCTGCCCATGTGAGTAATCAATATTTCTCTCAATTCTCTCTCAAACTGACTCTTGTTGTATGAACTTCTTTTAAAAGAACTCAATCTACTACTCCATGACCCAGTTACAACTTGAGAAATAATTGACATGGGTCATAAATTCTAACTTCTGTGAATGGTCAGTATCCAGGATTATGAGTCACAAGTGTTTGGTGAGTCTACTATGGAGTTAATGGCTCATCCCTTGTTGAGAGCAGCATATTTCCAGATATCCACAGTCGTTTTTATTTACTCCTGGGAGAAGCAGGGAAAAAATAATCCATGAAATTCCCATCTTGCTTAAAAGCAAAACATCTGTAGGAGACCCAAGAGTGTTGCTGGCTGAATTCACTAACATAAAAGCCTGTATTTCGTCAGCTTTGCTCTCATTAAAAAATCAATATCAGCTATTATGGAAGGCTCCCAAAGAACACAGGGACCATTCACCCAGTTTAAAATGTTTATCACACCCATTATTATATCAGATATTTCCCAGAAGAAATCTTTCTAACTGCTCTATGTGGTGGCAAAGAGTGTCTGTTTCCCTCCTAAGCATAACTATCAAAATAGCTTTGTACTTAGTAGGAGGAGAACAGAAGTTGAAAATTTTAAAGTATTCCTCTCCTTTAAAAAGGAACTTATCTGTTTATCACCTGTATCTGTTCATTACCTATACTAGCTTAGCCACCCTCTCCCTTTCCTATTGCCCCAAATAAAGTTATCACCCATGTAATCTAGGCTAAGAGGGACTTGAACCACATCTCTGTGATTCAGAGAACAGACATGATTAAGTGGACCCCGGTGTGAGGTCATCCATACTCCGATGGCAGGGTCAAAATATTCAAAGTCTCCTCTCTCAACAAAGCTTGCACTTGTTTACTTTTAATCAACCACATAACAAGGAGAGAGCTGGATTCATCTACTTTGAAGCCATCTACACTTGGCAGTTGGTGTATAATGGGGTTGGGGGGAGAAGAAGGAGTATGTATAGGATGTACTTCCCAAGAAAATGTTTGACAGAGTTCTAAGCAAGCAGGTGTGAATTCTGAGTATCCAGAGAAACCAGAAAGCAATTCAGATCTAGGGAAGAAGCTCTTCTTAGCAAATGGGCAATCATAGTCTGATAAAGGGGAAACTTTCACAATAAGTATACACATGTCTCTAGAACTAGTACAAAACTGAAAAGATAAAACCTAATCTAGACTTTAGTTGCTGCTGGAAATATACTCTCTATGGTTGATTTTAAATTTCATAGTCAGGGTTGAACTTGCTACTTCTAGGCTTTTAGTGTCTTACAAGGTCAGACAATTATTTTCATTCATTCATTCATTCACTCATTCATTCATGCATGCAAGCACACATTATTTCACAGACTTTCATTAAGTTCTATTTGCAAGGCACCAAGCTTGACAATATTAACAATTTAACATCAAATAACAACTCAGGTCTTGTCCTCAAAGGACTTCAAATTGAATGTGATAAACATATATGTGAACAAAGCATAGTACTTGAAAGAGGTGTGACCAAGATTGGATTGCTGTACAAAGAAAGCAGTAATTAAATTTTACCAAGAAAATCTGTGGTGCTTCAAGAAGAAAAACATATTTAAGCTGCACTTTCAAAAGGAATTTCAATAGATAAGGAGGGAGAGGAAAGGAATCTTGGCTGAGAGAAAAATATAAGTATGTGTGGAGGCTTGAAGAGCATGCGCATGACATGTGTTGGAAATAGAGGTAATCAAATGTACCTAGTCTGTGGTACAAAGGAAGACCTATATAGAAATAGATGAAGTGACAGATCACAGTTAGATTATAAAAGACATTTGTGACCAGAATGAGGATTTTGGACTTTGATATATAGACACCTGAGAACCTAGAAGTTTCTTTGCTTTTGATGAAGAGAGTAATCTAGCTTGGATTTTAAACAGATAACTCAGAAGTTATGTAATTAGAGAGAGAGGGATTAAAGAACTAGAAAAAGGCTACTCAAGTTATCTAAGCTAATGAAGATGAGGAGCTGAACTAGGATAGTAATTGCAGTGGGAAGGGGAAAGAATACAAGAGATCGTTGAGATGGTTTTTATAGAATAATGTAACTGACATTGGGAGTCAGGAAGAAGAATCAAAGATGTGAAGTTCTTGTTAATTGGACAATGGTGGCAGTTTAAATGGCCCTGTGAAACAGGAAAAAGGAATTTATAGGAGAAGAGAATTTGCTCAAATTTAGATATCATCTATTTTGATGATCCATGAGGAGAAGGAGTTAACACCTTTCTAGGACTACCTGATCCATTTCATGGTTTTAATTACTATCTGTTAATGACTCCCAAATCTATATTTACAGCTATATGCTTTAGATTCCACCCAGCCATCCAAATATATCCAATTAATTATCCAACTCTACTTCCTACATATCTTTAAAATCCAATAAATTATCTTTTTTCTTTATTCCTAAACATTCTCCTAGTTTAGTCTTTTATTTGGCTTCACTTTAATCCACATTCCCTAAATAACAACGATGATCTTTTTAAAACACAATTCAGTTGTTTTCATGCCCATTTAAAAACACTAAAAGAGCTGTCTCGCCTTTAGGATAAAGTATAAAACTTTTATATTGCTAAAAGATCTTACTCTACTTACCTCTTTAGCCCCATCTCTTGTCACCCATCCCCAGGATATCTTATGTTCCAGAAGCTCTCCTGGAATTCTTTTTGTGAACTAATGAAAGATGTCTTGCTCTCCTCAGTACATCTGTGTATGCTGTTCCCTCTGCCTGAGTGGGGACAGTAGGAAAGGACAACAGTTTCAAATCCATTTCTTTCTTGCTTGAACTTCAAGTCAATCACAACTTCACCCATCTTTCCTAACCATATTCTCACTTTATCCTTTATTTTTAGCATTAGTAGCATTGTTCTTAACTTCCCACTACTGTAAGAGTGCCTTTATTCCAGAACAGGAAATAATTTATCATCTTAGTCGTAGAGGTAATGTTGACATTCTCCTCCTTCTTCTCCTCCTCCTCATGCTCCTCCTCCTTCTTCTTTTTCAAAGTTTAAATTTATTTCAGAAAGATCTTTTTCTCAAAAAATATTTTCTTTAGTTTTGCCTATAACTAAAATAGTATTGTCCCTTCAGTCTACATTATAGTATAAACACAGTACATTTCCAAAGGTTGGCAGAAAAAAATATCTGAGACTTAGTATAATTTTATCTTTACTTCATTGCTTTAATAATCTTTAATAAATGGAATCACCACTTAACTAGGGAAAATTGTGTTTTTAGAATATGAGTCATAGAGTCATAAAAGAATGTAAGATTAAGAACCAGAGGGATGTTTTATACTCTGTGCTTCCACACCATTTGATCTGGACACTTCACTTACACTTTTGGGGGGATTAAGTTTTTCTTCTTTAAAATAGATATTGCGATATAATTTTGTGTAACAATTTATAAGCATAAATTCTTTCCTTATTCATTAACCATTTGATTGCCCTAGAACATGTTGGGTATTCTTATCTCTACTTTAAAAGAGAAAATGGAGATTCAAAGAAGTTAAGAAACTTTTTTCATGATTATTCAGATTTCGAATAGTAGGTCCAGAGATTTTGACACTAGAACCCTAATTATTCTACTGTCCAGTGCTGAATATGCCTCTTCTACAAAAAGATGAGGTGAGGAAAATCACGCTTACTTCACTGGCTTATGATGAAGATAAAATTAAATTATTAATCTGCAGCCCTTTGACAACTTTATTGGTTCTTCTTATTATTACTATTGTTTGTTGCTTCTGTTAGTAAACACAGGAAGTAAAAAAAACATGAATTATATCCATTCATGTTAACAAACTGAAAGGCGTTGTTATGTAAATTTAAGTTTATATGTATTTGTAGAATTAACCAAGTAAGCTTAACCAAACTTAACTAAGTAAGATTTGATTTACATTTATTCTGAGTTCTTTTGTTTTTGTTCTGTTTGTTTTGCTAAGATGATACATGCAGGATTGCCTGAGCTGGGTGGAATCCAAGACCTGAAATATGTGTATAATAATCTTCGTCCACAAGACACAAACCTGGAAGCAACAAGTCATTTTACCAAGTAAGATTAGCTGTGAATGTATGAGTGTACATACACTCATGTGTACAGATACATGTTTCACATTTGAGTTCATTTCAGGGTAAACAATCATTGGTATAAAGCTGTCATTTCTAGAACCAGCCTGTGTCTTCTTTCCCAGAGGATGGAAAGGGAGCAATGTGAATGTCTATCAGAAGGCCTTAGTCAGTGTTTCTGTAGCATGCTATTGTTTGCTACCCAACCTCTTCATCTAATACATTGCTCAATAAGAGGTCACTAAAAAGAGCAAGGCTGACATAAATAGATTGGTTGTTCTACTTGAACTGTGTCCAGGAAAACAATTTAGAAAAAGAGATTTATGATGAGATATGGACTCACTACTTTCATCTCTAAGGCAATACAAATATTGGAATATTTGGTCACTATCTTTTATTTTTAATCTATTTTTTACTAAGCAAGGCTGGGAAAACACTAATGTACATCAAAGTAAGAGTCTGGGCAGAATACAGTGAATATTAATTGGACTCAAAATCATTGTCAAAAGGGTGGTGCATTTTATAATAGAAGATTCCTTTGAACTTCAATATTTGAATGGATAGCATAATTGCTAGCAAGTTTTAGGTGCTCAATAAACGTTAGCCATAATTATTATCATAGTAAATAGTTTAAGTAGAGAAATACAGTGCTTTTTCCTGTAACTTCTTAATATTAATTCTTTTTGAGTCTACTTTTTAATTGTTTTGATACGTTTAACAAAAAATTTGTAAGTACAGATTATACTCTTTTTAATGTATGTATGCTTTGTCCTTCTGAGGAAAACAGTATTTACAAAATCTTTCCCACCCAATTATTACTTTTTCTCCCCTCCTTCCAGAATATATAGTGAGGGCTCTCTATTACAATGGACGAATGAGAGTTAATTGGGACATCCTACATACTTGATGAATTTCACTTTTGCAAAGAATCTTTGTTTTGTGAACTCTAATTGAAAGGCTGCTATTGTGGTTGAGTAGAAGCAATATGGCATAATTATAGAATACTAGAACTGGAAGTGCCCTTATACTTTATTCTGACAATAAATGTGCAAATGAGGAAACAGATTCAAAGAATTAAAGGTCTTGCCCACAATTAAAGAAGTAGTAAGAAACAGAGCTACGATTAGGGACCATAAAAGTCCTTGGTCTAGGGTTTTTCAATATTCAATACTGGAAACAATGTATCATTAAGGAACATCGGGCAGAGCCTTTGCCAAAAATATACCTTCTTGCTACTTAATTTGTTTCTGAAATTCTACCACTAGAGATTCTTTAGTGGAGTCTGGTAGGTTTTCTGAGTCTTTAAAAATGCCCTTTAATAGAGGGAACATTCTGCATGGAGCACTGGGTGTTATACGCAAACAATGAATCATGGAACACTACATCAAAAACTAATGATGTAATGTATGGTGATTAACATAACATAATAATTTTTAAAAAATGCCCTTTAATCATAAAAGTTATCTCTGAAAGAAGCATTTGTTTATGTCCATTTAGAAAGCTACAAATATTAGTTGACAATCATCTATGGCCAAAGCCACTAGCTTGAAGATTTTCGTAAGTGTTCCAGATCCCTGGTTTTGTGGATAATGAACACTCAAGTTGCCTCAACTAATGGGGCAGGGGATTTGTGTGAGAAATCCAAGGGAAAGGCTAACAACTTGCCTCAGAAAGAGCAGAAGGTCTTCTGTCCCAGAGCCTGGAAGGTCCTTTGGAGTTCAAGACAGCTCTAGGATCCCGTCAGCAGGAAGCAGTCTTTCACTCTAGCTGCTCACCCCTAGTCCAGTTAACTCCATCCTAAGGTCACATGGTACCAAAACACAGCCCTCTCAGGCTATTCCATTAGGATCTGTGTGGGACACCTTTCTTTAAAGTGAGCTACTGCACAACAGGCACAATGACTGATATGTCAGCAGAAGCAGGTAGGGAGAGAGAGGAGGAGCATGGAGAGGTCCAGAAAAGGTAGAGGTTGGAAACATGTGATTAGGTTAAAGCCTGTGTTTGATGTGTCATTGTTTAGATAGTTTATAAATAGTCCCTACTACCATTTAAAGCAAAGGAAAAAAACTATATATCGGATGAAGAAAAGCTCTTACAGGCTCTGGCCACAGGAAAATGCAAATAGGCTTTATTTGTCCACCAGAGTTCCATCCCTCCACATTTCCTGACTTCCACTGACACATCCAGATCTGTCAAAAGCAGAATCTTAGATATGGGTGAGCTTGCCTACATTGACTTATCTCCTCTTCCTATTCAAGAGATTGTGAACTAATATGGGAAGTAGATCTGAAACCACTAATCTCCTGGCAGCGAGCTAGACCTCATTATCTTGCCTGCATATCTCTGCCAGGCTAATTTTCTCACTTTAAGATGTTATATAGTATGTTCTGTTAATTAAACTTCTTTCTACAACTTTATGGTAAAAAACTTGTTCTCCATTGGAGACTTAAAAAGCATCTAGTCAAGGGGCGCCTGGGTGGCTCAGTCGTTAAGCATCTGCCTTCAGCTCAGGTCATGGTCCCAGGGTACGGGGATCGAGCCCCACATCAGGCTCTCCACTCGGCGGGAAGCCTGCTTCTCCCTCTCCCACTCCCCCTGCTTGTGTTCCCTCTCTCGCTGTGTCTCTCTCTGTCAAATAAAAAATAAATAAAATCTTTAAAAAAAAAAGGCATCTGGTCAACTAAATGAGGGCACATCCTTTCTCTGTTCAATAATTGTCTTTGACTTGCCTTTTCCTACCACTTACTTTTCAGGACCTTATGATCTGATTGTCTTTATCAAGGTTTATCCACCCCACCTCCATTATTCCCAAATGAGTCCTCTTCTGGGTAGATAACTTTTTCAGTATACATTCATTCTTCTTTTGTCTATTTAGCGCATCAGAAATTCTTCCAAGGAGGGCACCTGGGTGGCTCAGTCGTTAAGCGTCTGCCTTCAGCTCAGGTCATGATCCCAGGGTCCCTTTTTTTTTTTTTTTTAAGATTTTATTTATTTGACAGAGAGAGAGACCCAGCGAGAGAGGGAACACAAGCAGGACCCTGGGACCATGACCTGAGCAGAAGGCAGACACTTAACGACTGAGCCACCCAGGTGCCCCCCAGGGTCCTTTTTGATCGAGCCCCTCATGGAGCTCCCTGCTCAGCCGGGAGCCTGCTTCTCCCTCTCCTTCTACTCCTCCCCCTGCTTGTGCTCTCTCACTCTCTCTGTCAAATAAATAAATAAAATCTTTAAAAAAAGGTATTTATTTTATAAAGAGTTCAGGGGGAGGGGAAGAGGGAGAGGGGGAGTCTCAAGCTAAGCTTGGAACCGACATGGGGCTCATCTGACAACCCTGAGATCATGACCTGAGCCGAAATCAAGAGTTGGACGCTTAACTGACTGAGCCACCCAGGCGCCCCACATTGTGACCATCTTTCTACATCAGTATAATTTACCTCATTCTTAATAGCTGTACACGATTCCATTGTATTTGATATGTACATAACAAAGTTTAAACAGTTCCTTATATATTTAACATGATAGTTTATTTATTAAGATTTTATTTGAGAGAGAGCACAAGCAGGGGGAGCGGCAGGCAGAGGGAGAAGCAGACTCCCCGATGAGCAGGGCACCTGACTCGGGGCTCCATCCCCGGACCCTAAGATCATGACCTGAGCTGAAGGCAGACGCTTTCACCCAGGCGCCCCTTAACATAATAGTTTTAATCATATACTGAATTTCCATTAATACTTGATCTGAAGGCACCTGGGTGGCTCAGTCGTTGGGCGTCTGCCTTCAGCTCGGGTCATGATCCCAGGGTTCTGGGATTGAGCCCCGCATCGGGCTCCCTGCTTGGCGGGAGGCCTGCTTCTCCCTCTCCCACTCCCCCTGCTTGTGTTCCTGCTCTTGCTGTCTCTCTCTGTCAAATAAATAAATAAAATCTTTAAAAAAAAAAAAGAAATTCTTCCAAGGAATCATAAAATTACTGGAATAGAGGGCGGAGTCTGATCTAACTTTCAGTTCTACTTATCCTTTGAGATGCTGGACCATTCGTACCTCATCCATGAAACCCTCTCAGATTATTCTAGTGGTGACTAGTCTTTTCTTCTATAATTCTACAGAACATGTACTATTTCCTGCTATACTTAATTTATTACTAAATTACATGTTCTCTAGTATATCACCTTAATATACTGGTTGGTTATACCAGTTTCTCCCAAGTAAAACAGGGGACATAGTCCCATTTTTCTACTTTTAAAAAATATCTGAATGTGAAACAAGTTTTATTCCCCCTAAGATATATTTAAAAGTTTAACAGAAAATCCAATGTAAACATCAAACATTAAGTTTATAAAAATTATATAACAGTGGCTAACATTTAACATAGTACTTTTTATGTGTCAGGCCCTGTTTTAAGTGCTTTTCGTGTGGTAACTTGTTTAATCATCATAACAAGTCTGTGAGATAATATCATTTTAATGTACATTTTTAGATTAAGACATTGAGACCCCAGAGAGGTTAAGTATTTGCCAAAGGATATGGCCAGCTGTAGACAGAACCACAATATGTATCCAGGGGTTATGCTCCAGAGTGGGGGTCTTAACCTCCACCCTGTGTGCTTAAAACCATGTCTCTCATATGCAGGCTCTTGGGATAGGCTGGTTCATAATGCAGACCATAGTTTTCTCAAGGTCCCTTAGAGCCCAGTTTGGCTACAGTTTGAACAAAGTAGATCTTTTCTCAGGCAATAATCCTCATATCCTGAATATCCCAAGCCTTGAGGGAGGACAGATGTCCCTTCCCAGTGCTATTATCTCTGTGCCATCACCAGGTGTCTCCTGGATGTTTGGTTTAAGATCTGCTATAATTGCCGCCCTGGGGGACCACCATGGGATAATTTGCCTAGTGACTCCAAAATAGTCACCCTCTTTCCTTTTTCTGTTTTGGCCCTTTAACAGATGTCTTGAACCTTTCTCTATTTTTCCCCTTGTCTGCTCAGAGAAAGGA